ACACGTCCATTGGATTGCCAGACAAAGGAGCGCGATTCGTCACTTCAGAGACCACATTTCCATTGCTCTAGAGTCCAGTGGCAGTGTGCTTTACACCACTGTATCCAACGCTTTGCATTGCACTTGGTGATGTAAGGCTTGGATGCAGCTGCTCGGCCATGGAAACCCATTCTATGAAGCTTTCTACGCACTGTTGTTGTGCTAATCTGAAGGCCACACGAAGTTTGGAGATCTTTAGCTATTGACTCTGCAGACAGTTGGGCGACTTCTGCGCGCTTTAGCATGTGCTGACCCCGCTCTGTCATTTTACCTGGCCTAGTACTTCATGGCTGAGTTGCTATTTGCTTCCACTTTGGAATAATAACACGAACAATTGCCCGTGGAACATTTAACAGCAAGGATATTTCACAGATGGACTTATTGCACAGGTGGCAACCTATCACAGTACCAGGCTTGCATTCACTGAGCTCCTGAGAGCGACCTATTCTTTCACAAATGTTTGTATAAGCAGTCTGTATACCTAGGTGCTTGATAGAGATATACAGTTGCAAGAAAAAGTATGTGAACCCCTTGGGATTACATGGAGTTTTGCATGAATTGGGCATAAAATGTGCTCTGAACGTCATCTAAGTCACAACAATAGAAGAACACAGTCTGCTGAACATAATACTATACAAACATTAGATGTTGCCATGGTTTAATTGCACATAACATGTAAACATTCACAGTGTAGGGAGGAAAAGTATGTGAACCTTTTGACTTAATAACTGGTTGACCCTCCTTTGGCAGCAATAACCTCAACCAAACGTTTCCTGTAGTTGCAGATCAGACCTGCACAAAAATCTGGAGTAATTTTGGACCACTCCTCTTCACAAAACTGTTTCAGTGTAGCAATATTCTTGGGATGTCTGCTGTGAATCGCTCTCTTAAGGTCATGCCACAGCATTTCAATCGGGTTGAGGTCAGGACTCTGACTGGGCCACTCCAGAAGGCATATTCTGTGCTGTTGCAGCCATTGTTTTGTTGAATTACTTGTATGCTTTGGGTCATTGTCCTGTTGCATCACCCATCCTCTGTGGAGCTTCAGTTGGCGGACAGATGGTCGTACGTTTTCCTGCAAAATGTCTTGATAAACTCTGGAATTCATTTTCCCATCAATGACAACAATCTGTCCAGGCCCTGAGGCAGCAAAGCAGCCCCAAACCATGATGCTCCCTCCGCCATGTTTTACAGTGGGGATGAGGTTTTGATGTTGGTGTGCTGTGCCTTTTTTTCTCCACACATAGTGTTGTGTGTTCTTCCCAAACAACTCAATCTTGGTTTCATCTGTCCACAGTATATTTTGCCAGTAGTGCTGTGGAACATCCAGGTGCTCTTTTACAAACTTCAAATGTGCTGCAATATTCTTTTTGGACAGCAATGGCTTCCTCCGTGGTGTCCTCCCATGTACTCCATTCTTGTTTAATGTTTTCCTTATTGTAGATGTGTCAACAAAAATGTTAGCATGTGGCAGAGATTTCTGTAGGTCTTTAGCTGACACTCTGGGATTCTTCTTTACCTCATGCAGCATTCTGCGCTGTGCTCTTGCAGTCATTTTTACAGGACGACCACGCCTAGGGAGAGTAGCAACAGTGCTAAACTTTCTCCATTTGTAGACAGTCTGTCTTACCGTGGACACATGAACATCAAGGCTTTTGGAGATACTTTTGTAACCCTTTCCAGCTTCATGCAAGTCAACAATTCTTAATCGTAGGTCTTCTGAGAGCTCTTTTCTGCGAGGCATGGTTCACATCAGATAGTGCTTCTTGAAACCAGTAAACCCAAAACAGGTGTGTGTTTTTTAAGGGCAGGTCACCTGTCAGCAACACATCCAATATCATCACACTGATTGGAGTCAAGGTTGGCTCACTCCTGCCTCCAATTAGCTCTGGGAGAAGTCATTAAGCTAGGGCCTCACATACTTTTTCCTCCCTGCACTGTGAATGTTTACATGTTATGTGCAATTAAACCATGGCAACATCTAATGTTTGTGTAGTATTATGTTCAGCAGACTGTGTTCTTCTATTGTTGTGACTTAAATGACGTTCAGAGCACATTTTATGCCTAATTCATGCAAAACTCCACGTAATCCCAAGGGGTTCACATACTTTTTCTTGCAACTATATACACACACACACACACACACACACACACACACACACACACACACACACACACTTGATATATATATATATAAAAAAAATATCTGTGGCCATGGAGGTGATTGGAACACATAAATCCAATCATTTGAAGGGGTGTCCCAATACTTTTGGCAATAGAGTGTATATGCAAATCTAAAATTTACATATAAAATGTCAACATTGGCAGCAATAATGTTCAGTTTTAATTGCTCAGGTTCATGACAATATTTTAACTTTATTGGAACAAATGCAGTATACCATATTGAAATTCTAATCCAGAACATGGGACTTAGGAAAGTATGTCATCGTAGCTCCTCTGCAGCTACAAGGACCTTTCCATTACATTTCTGCACTTAGTTTAGGGCATAAGCTAAAATAGGGTTACCTTGACCACAGTGAAAAGTATAAAACCACAGTTGTACACATTTTTGGTTGTTTTTAATCTTGCAAGGTCTGTGTTTTTTTTATATTAGCTAATTTCAGTAGTTATGTCTTTAAAGTAGAACTAAACATAAGTTTTGTAAGACTGTGAAACAAACTTCCCTGTCTGCTTGCAGTTTTCTACCAAATGTACACAGAGCTTAGCATCTGCAGCTCAGACACACTTCGGCTGTGCCAGCATGACCGACTCTAGTCCACATGACCAAGATGATGTCATCCCCCACTGGCCAAGAAGTAAAAAAAAAAAAAAAAGCAGGAGATGCCAGCAAGGTCTGTAACTGCTGCATTACTGGAACTGGAAGCTAAAACCTAATTCCACGTTTACTTTAATTTTAAATAGTTTGTTTGTGTCAAGTTGGCCCAAACCAAATTATTTCCTTTACTAATAGGTGCACCCGCTGTCAGAGTTGTGTACACTGTATGTAGCATTAGATACATACAGTGCTGTGTTTTGGTAATGGTATGGGGACTTCCAATCTGCTGCATAGATATTCACATGAAGATTTATTTTGTCAACAAATTCAAGACTTCCTCTAATTGGCTGAGTTGAAGAAGCAGGAGGATGATGTCACGATCTCCATCTCAGCCAACCAGAGGAAGCCTTGTATTCATTTATAAGATGGGAAGTCTCTGTACCACTATCGGAAAACAGCACTGACACTGGACGCATCTATTAATAAAGGAAATAGTTAGGAACTATTTAAAGTAAACACAGAGTTAGGCTTTACGTCATTCACCTATACATGTGCATAAAAGTGCAAAACCTATAGATGTTAAACCAAAAATATCAACCTTCAAGTATGAACATAATGAAAAATCTGCACCATCAGATGCACATTTACGGCCTGAAGTAAAACTGTCTATTAGCCAATCAGATTTGACTTTGCTTTTTATGTTCTAATTTGCAAAAAAAAAAAAAAAAAATTGTTTTTATGATTATATTAATAATAAATGGGATAATCTTTGCTTCCAATTCATTTAACCCACCCACTATGGGGAGGGAAGAGGGAAGACGAAAGAAGAAGATCGGCCGAAATGTGACTGTAACCTATCAGATGCAGTCAATGTTTTGAATATTCTGACAGCTGTCAGAATGCAATAGCTGGCAGGGAAGATTTGTCCAGATATGCCAATTTAGCATGGCTAGAGAAATCTATTGATTTCTCTCTTTGGCACACAGGGCAGAATTAGAGAAATCAAAGTATGTACAGCTAGCCTAGGTCTTCACAAACCCTGCATCCTTAACACACATGGAAACAAACAAAGACACTTGCGAACATGTTTAGATACTTTTTGTAGAAAAAAAAAAAAAAAAAAAAGTGTACAGATAAAAAAAAAAAAAAAAAAAAAAAAAAAAACGTACTGTACATTATTATACACACACATATGCAAAATACCAAATGAAGATTGTTAAATGAAGTTAAAGTGGAACAAACCCATTGATTTAATGTTTTCCCAAAACTGTTACATTCAAGGCATGCAATGAATGATAACTGTCACAGCTGCTTGTTCTCTCAGCCAAATTGTCAAGTCATCAAATGGCTGGTGTCATAATAGATCACATGTGCGGCACCATGGCACCTGCAGATCAAACAGAAATCTAAGATGGCAGCTTCCTTGGCTGTAAAAGGACAGGAGGGATTAGTTCCACTTTAAAAAGTGAGGATAATATTCGATCTTTACACCAACTCCCCCCTTCCATTCCTAAGGTCACGCACATGGTTACACAGGCTTCAACTTACACACCTCAGTAGCTTACATTTTATCATATGTGCAGATGGTTTTAAAATTAAGAAACGCATATCAATGACTTAAGATTTCCCTAGACATACCTTATAGAACTCATTTATTTCAGTTAAGAGAAAAGATGTTACCAAGGTAAATAAATAAAGTGACTGGTAGGGTTGCCTTAAACCCTATGAAAAACTAACAGTACAGCTGTGATGTCCACACTCACTCAGCTCACTGCAGAACACAGAAGCAGGGGGATCTGCATTACAGTCCATCATTGATCTCCACACAACCTGAGCCAAACAAACATCTAACATGATAATATTGCTGAAAAACTGCTGCAGGAGACTCTATTCTATTCACTAGTGCCATCCCTTGCCCAACCCAGCAGGGCACTCTTATAGGCTGGGAAAGTGCAAGCTTAATTTAAAGGATTGCTACCCCTACTTTAGCCAAATAAATGTGCAATTGAGAGATCTAGAACAACTGCAGCACTGTCAATAGAGATTTAACAGTAAATTGTGAACCAGTACAATGCTCAATGCATTACTGACAGGTATAGCTTATTTTGCAAATATTTAATGCATTTAATATATAAAAAAGTGAAAAAAGGCGTAAATTTCAGTGTGTACAGTCTATGGAGGCAGCTCATATGGGTTTGTACAGCAGTGTGGTGACATACTTCTTCTTATAACGATGAGTAGCACTTAACACCATCACACCATCCTATAAAGAAAAAAAGAAAAATTAAAAGATGAAAACATCTGTGAATGATACAGCTGGAGTAACTGCAAGACAACAGCAGAAATATATGTACCTTGATGGACAGTGCATAAAGGTGATTTAGCATGACATGATTGGGCTCTGGGAGCAAAGCTGGGTCACACTGTAAAACAAGAAACACAATTTAAATTTCTTAGTTATAAGTAGTATCGGACTAAAGGTGGGCAGGAGCATTTGGATGAAACTATATGGCATTCCCCGACTATACCAATTTCCCACCCAATCAAGGCCATCTTAGACCAAATGAGCTACCAAATTAGCTATAAAAACAAATAAAAGGAGTGCTCCCAACCCTGTGGAAGCCAATAGAGTCACAAGCCCAGGAATAGTTCAAATCAAAATTCACTTTAATGTGTTAAAAAGCATGACATAGGAGTGCCCAGATTGATACATCACCAAGCCAGTGCAGAGGAGAAACATATTCCCAAAAGCTGGAGGATGACACACAACCCTGGACCCAACAGTAGGTTGCTCAGTCCAGGAGCCTCAGGACAGTGGGAAGGGGTTTGTAGATGGCAGCTGCTGGGAGATGACGCATCCGCCGGAGGACGTGTCCCAGATCCGATTGTTAGGTCATACACCTGGCGAGACACCACCCACACAAGGGCTGGTGAGGGCAAACTGGATGCCTAGGGGAGCACTCTTGATCTGAGGAAGGGGCAAGTCCCTGAAACATGTTGTTATCTTAATGACCAGCTTCTCTCCTTTGGTTTGACATGGTTTGAGTGCTCCCCTAGGCTTCAGGTTTGCCCTCACCAGCCCTTGTTTGGGCAATCTCTCGCCAGGTGTATGACATAACTGGATCTGGGACACGTGACTTCTGGTAGACGCACCATCTTAGTGATCCCAGCGGCTGCCATCTACACACCCTTCACACTGTCCTGAGGCTTCTGGGCTGAGCAACCTACTGCTGGATCCAGGAATGTGTCATCCTCCAGTTTTTGGGAATGTGTTTCTCCTCTGCACTGGCTTGATGATGTATCAATCTGGGCACTCCCACGTCATGCTTTTTAACCCAACATTAAAAGTGAATTTCGATTTGAACTTTTCTTGGGCTTGTGATTCTATTGACTTCCACAGGGTTGGGAGAGCTGCTTTATTATTTGTTGTTTTGTGCTGATGTCTCAGTGCTTGTCAGATGGGTTGCTGGAGCTGCCTATTCTGTGGTTATCTACTTATCCCCTGGAACCTCATTGCGCTTGATATTTGCACCTTTACCAAATTAGCTATGACTCCTCAATTTATCATGTCTCATGTATTGTCATGTTTACAAACACAGGCAGATGGTGGGGCTTTTACCAAAATTTGTAATCTCCTACCATGGTAGGGATAGATGTGAATAGTTACAAGTATTCTGTAAGCACTGTGAGACATTTTCTCTACATAAAATTACATTAAGTTATTATATCATACAGTCACAATTACTACAGTCCAATAAAGTAAACTGATTTGAGAACATCTGCAGAATTTTTGCATACTTACTGAAATGCCTGTGTCTTTATTAAGAATGACTTGAAGCAGATGCGGTGGGAGGATAGGGGGAGATTTGAAACGTTCTTCCAGCTTACAATTATATGCATCTTGCAGGTAAGGACCAGGGGGTGAGCTAGAAAGCTCTGGCGAAACAAAACGACATTCAAAGAATGTGCCATGTTAAAATCCAGGTGTATTGATTTCAATTAACCCTTTGAGGACCAAGGGACGTATTTGTCCCATGTTTGTAATTGCGTGTATCATCTGATTAAGAACTTAAAAACTCTAATTTTTTGACTCAAGTCAAAAAAAATAGAGTTTTATCAACAAACAACAAATGGGTCTAGCTTTTTGCCAATTATTTCATGAAATGGCTTAGTTACAGCAACTGAAGTGTACAAACTTTAAAAACAAAAAAAAATATTCTTTTGGCGTTCCAAAACCTTACGGTCCTCAAAGGGTTAAAAAACAATAGATTCAAAGGCCATGCATTGTGATCTATGTTTTTAGAAGAATATTCATCACTGAGCATAAACAACTATTCCACAAATGCCACAATTTGGAGCCAATGGATATACAAGTACTTTAGACAAGTGTTTCTCAGCATTTTTCCAGTTGAGGCACCCTTTAAAATTGTGAACCATCTTGGGGCATCACCTTCTATAATGTAAAAACTAAACTAATAGTTTTACATATTGCAGCACAACCCACACACATAAGACACCAAACATTAGAGATTATTTATCCTTGCAAAGCAAATATGTTGTACACCGGTACGGACTAGTATTCTAGGATTTCGTCTCCCTCATTTTTTCTCCCGTATGCAGCTAACGTGACCCCAGTGCTGACTGACGGGCAGGGTCAAACAATTATGCTGTGCTGGTGCCCGATGCCCTCCTTAACCAATGACGTCAGTGGTTGTTAAGACGCTGGCAGCTGGCCTGCCAAGGTTGTAATGTTGTTGAATACCTATGGCTTTGTGCAACAAAAAATTGTACTCAAATTTTGGGCAGTTTTTAGACATTTCGCCAAGTCCAAGGCTGAAGAACCCAGAAAGGTACCCTGGTGGGAAAAGGCTGTTTTAGATACTGGCCCACCCTTCCAATCAGAATACATCCTTTAAAGCCCAAGTATCAAGGCATGCTTAGGAGTCCTATGCAGAGGCCAGAAACACCATTGTTTAGCTTTTCCTTACAATTGCTGCACCATCATCAGAATGTCATCCCTGTTTTGCTTCAAAAATCTACATCACCTCTTGTAAATGGCGCGGTGAGCTAATCACTTCAGTGTCATCCCAGTGTGGAAGTAAATGAGCTTGACGCATGAAGCATTGTTTTTGAGAAGATCATTTAACCCTACAGGGTAGAAGCCATGAAATAGTTATCAGAACTGTTCCTAAGTGGGTCAAACTCAAAATTTCAGGCCACATTCTGCAGAATTAGACAAAATTTGAGCTGTGGGTGGCCCTGTTGACAACACTTGACTCAAACGTCCAATGAAAAAAAAAAAAAAAAAAAAAAAAAAAAAAAAATCACAGGAGCCAGGTGGAAAACTGTTGGCCACACAGGGACTGCATCCTATTAGATGTAGTCAATGTTCAGGAGTTCAAGCAACCACGGATGTGGCTACAACGTTGGCAGCGGAGATTCATCTATCCACAATGTTTAGTGTAGATTAAGGAATCTATGCATGTATGGCTAGCTTTACTAAGTACAAGACTGCTGGGAGTTGTGTGAAGTCCTAAGCTTGGTAAACTAGTAGAATTTCGTTGGTTCATTTTTCTAATCGATAGCTGGGTGAAATTGACACTCATTTTTTACTGCAGTGACAAGAAATTTGAAAGAGCAGAGTGGAAACTTTTTCTTGAATCTACGAATCTCTAAACAGTCTATGTGGCTTTCAATCAGTAAAGTCTACTCATTCCAAAATTGAATGTTATAAGCCAAACAAAATCTTAAACTACTTTTGAAAGACATTCAAATGTACTGAGAATTTTCATACAAAATTTTCCTAACAATTTTTGTACAAAATTCTATTACGTGTATACCCAGGTTTAGCCTTACTGGACACCAGCAGCACAGAGATAGGCAGAAATCTGCCTCCCCCACCAACCCAATGTAACCAAAAAAATGCACCAGTAAAGATTTAAAATAACATTCTGGTTTCCAAAATGTTGAAAATGTTCTCTGTTAAAGTTGCAGCCAAGACAGATTGAACCAACTGGGCTCCCTTCCTCAAAAAGTGAAGGCAATAATCAATAGGAGGTTTCTGTGATACACAGACTTTAACCACTTGCCTACCGGGCACTTATACCCCCTTCTTTACCAGGCCAATTTTCAGCTTTCAGCGCTGTCGCACTTTGATTGACGATTGCGTGGTCATGCAAGATTGTACCCATATGAAATTTGTATAATTTTTTTCTCACAAATAGAGCTTTCTTTTGGTGATATTTAATCGCCACTGGGCGCTTTACTCTTTGCGCTATAAACAAAAAAAATTGCAAAAAATTGGAAAAAAAAAAAAAAAAGTTTCTTTGTTTCTATTATAAAATTTTTCAAATGGGTAATTTTTCTCCTTCACTGATGTGCGTTGATGAGGCAGCACTGATGGGCACTGATGGGCGGCACTGATGAGGTGGCACGGATAGGCAGCACTAATGATGGGTATTGATAGACAGCACTGATAGGTGGCACTGCCTGGCATCACTGCTGGGCACTGACTGGTGGCACTGCCTGGTGCCATTGACTGGCAGCACTGCTGGGCTGCACTGATGGGCGCTGGTGGGCACAGGTGGGTGGCACTGCTGGGCACAGGTAGGTGGCACTTCTGGGCACACTTGTGACACTGCTGGGTGGCACAGGTGAGTGCACTGCTGGGCACAGGTGGACGGAGCTAGTGGGCGCACTGCTGGGCACAGGTGGGCAGAACTTGTGGGTGGCACTGCTGGGCATCGACCATCAGGGCACTGATCATCAGTGCCCTGATGATCGGTGCCGATCCCTGCTCTAACAACTGCTGGATCTCGGCAGTACTTTCCTCACGATCTGACAGCTTGAGGAAAGTGCAGCTGAGAACTGGCAATTGCATTTCCTGGTGATCAGCGTGTCATTGGACACGGCTGATCAAGTGGTAAAAGGCCGCTGTGATTGGCCTTTTACCACATCACGTGATCAGCTGTGTCCGTAGGACACAGCGATCACGGAGATCACCGGGTGCGCGCGCCCCTGGAGAGCGCGTTCTGGGAGAAAGTCATATGACACCCACCCAGAACTGGACGGCCACAGTGCAGCCGTCATTCGGCTATCTGCGGTCGGCAAGTAGTTAAGTAGCATTAAACCCCAAAACAAAAAACGTGTTAAATGGCAGCTCTCCAATTTTTACACGTGGGGATTTAATTCACCCTTTTGAAAAATCACGGCACACCAAAAAGCATGGTACTTTAACAAGTGTTACCAAGATGCGCAAGGGTGCCATTAAGAATTAATGACAACATCACGCGTCTGCAAAAGAGCCCGGCACGTTTTTGTGCATTGTGGTAAAGTATGTGAGCTTGCGAGTGTTCATGCAACACACAAAGGATTTTTAAGCTGCAATATATTACATTAATCGATTTAACAACAAGCAACACACTGGTTATAGAAGAGCGTGTTGGAAGATTACAGTTGAGAAAGAAAAGCTCTGCAATACATTTTTTAGTTGTTCAGTTCTCACACCCTTTAAACTTTTTTTTCCTCTCTCTATACAGTACTTGCCTTGGGTGATCCATATACAAACATGTGCAGTGTGAAGAAAAATGGCTGAGAAACCAGGCAAGACAAAATATAGGGATAATAAACGTCAGTTAAAACTCCTCAGCCCAGCTGTAGGAAATGGAATATGGGAAAGCAGGAAAAAGAAAAATCTACAATGCTTTGCTCCCCCATGACCACACCCCATTTAAAATCCACTACTGAATGAGCAAGTGGATATTGACATCTTGTGTTATATATTTACATTGTTGTACTTTTACGACCAGGTTATAAAAATCTCAAATTACACAGCAATATGTAATATTTATGACAGGACTTTTCATACCTGACACATCAGAACCTTTCTGTGAGTCGACCATTAAGGCATCAAAGACTTCAAAATCGGTTTTCTTCACATTAATGACATTGTTTATTGTCCCAAGCTGGCTAGTTACTACTGGCTGTACAAAAAACAAAAATGATAAAGCCGTCAGTAACCTGATATTGTATGTAGAATAGAGGTTAGCATGAGCAACACAAAAATTTTCCCAGTTTTTGAAAAGACTCCACAATAAATATGAATAAACAATCGTTCATAAACAACAAGGTTACCTCAGAAGGATCATGAGTCCACTGGCCATCAACAAAAAATTTGTACTGGTGCTCCCCTTCTGGAAGATCCAATATTGCTACAAAGTTGTTGTGGCTGGAACACAAAGAAAACCCGTTTAAGAGACTGCAGAGCAGGCTAAATATTAAATCTCAAAGTAATGCAGCACAAACGTCAAATTGAAATGAAAATAGCCCGTAAGGAAATTGTATTTATTGTAGAGTTCCTGGTTCAGCGCATAAAATGAAGTGGAGTCAATCTCACCAGTATCCTGTGAGCATAGGGTGGCTTGGTGACATACCCCTAGGGTACAAGTCCTTGACAATGTGAGCCACAGAAAGTGGGTTAAATGTCGCTGGGCACCTATCAATCCAGACAATGGCCAGCTTTGGAGCACAAAGCATTGAGTTTACAGGGCACAGAGTTGAAGCTAGTGTGATTTTTGAAGCCAGAATGTTATTTTAAATCTTTACTAGTGCAGATTTATAAACTGGCGCTGAGCTTTAAAAGAAACAGATACACAGCTGCAAAACATATGTGAAGGATGTATCTGCAAAGTGATGTACAATTCCACTGAACTGCCCATAGAATTCTCACACCCATGTCACACTACATAGCCTGGACAATAATGGCAGCTATTTGAAGGTTCAGTTCTACAGCCTCCTCTGTAACCTGCTCAATAGACAATACATTAGAAGTGTCATGATGCGAATTAGTTGCCCATTAAGCAGGATGAAGTCAGGTGTGTGTTTTTCCAAGCACCTATCTTTGGAATGCTATAGTTTATTAGAGGTAACCTTTATACCTGCTGATAAGTAATCAGCATATGGGCGTCAATACATACATATTGTGACAGGGTAGGCCTTTTTAGTTTATCCATTTCCTTAACATCTACTGGCTGTCAAAGCACATGATAGCCAAATCTGTCAGTGTATGCTGCCACTATACAAGTGCCCTTTTTTTCCTAAAGTTTAGCCTGGGTGGCTACCAATTTTATCTAAAACTTTGTGTACGTTGTCCACCCTTTTATTGCAGTTGTAAACACAAACTCTTAAAATGCTTGACATGTGCATTGCACTCATCTCATTTTTACATTGTTCTCCAGAGCTACCAATTACTAGGCTCACACTGTATTTTTCCTGTGACAATGATAAAGAAGAGAATGGTAATGTGATCTATGGAATAAAGAAAATCACGCCAAGGGCAGCAGTAAGCAGCACTGGGATCAGAACACAACAAAACTTTTTCTTACCAACCTTACCCCTGCTGGATTCTTCAGGATGTGTAAGAGTTCCACTACTGCACATCCAAAGGGAAGTATCCACATATGCAGTGAGTAAGATGGAAGGTTCTGGGGACCCGTTGCGTGATGTGAACACCATATTTAGATTAGGTCGATTTGATTAGATATGAACTAGAAGGGGGCAGTCTGTGTGTTTACAGGAAAACAAACATGTGCAGACTAAAATCAGAATAGAAAATGAGACATACCTTCTTATTAGAGGGATTTTTCCCCAGCTGTTAAACGACCCAGCTAAGTAAATTTCTTTCCCTCCTCCAGTCCACCGAAAAACTGTTGGTCGAGCCTGAGTTGGAGCTTTGTCATTTACTTCTAAATCATGCTGCCATGCCAAAAATTCATCTTTTTCCATTGGGGCCTGTAAGGTCAACAACATAGCGGATATCACCTAAAACAGTAGTACTAACAAATATATTGCTAATAGCATCTAAATATGCAATTAAGACAGGCATGCATGGTGTTAAACAGACCAGAACAATCACAGATCCACCTGTAGAAGGAAAAAATAAATTCTAATGTGATACAAGCACTGCTGCTACACTTAGTGCCCAGTCATACCTGTACCTGGAGTAAGGCTTTAAAACCCAACCTTACCCAAGAAATGCAGAAACCAAAGCTTTCCTTATTACAACACAAAGGTATCTTTAAAAATTTTTGTCAACCAAGACAGAATTATGCTTGTTGAACTCCAGTCAAACCTCTATACAGACAGATTAAATACATATTAGGGAACGATTTTAAATGCCACCAGATTTGTATTTCTGTCCATCCATTTCTAAGATTTACAAAGTCTTGGCACAGAGCACAGTCAGGTGGATGACGCCACTTTCTCTGTGACAGAGATAGACTATAGAAGGTATGCAGCGGTGTCCCCTCTCCACTCCCAGACTGCTGAACAGTAAAGGAGCAGCAGGAGCACAGTGAGGTTACCCCCCTGCTCTCTTTTCCTATCAGCATATTTGGATGCAGACCTGAAAGAGGCTGGTTCTAAATCAAATTCAAAGCATTAAAAAAAAAAAAAAAAAAAAAAAAAAATTCAAGTGGTTCTAAAGGTTCTATTCTAATTCTATGCATGAAGGTAAAAAAAAAATCTTCTGTGCGCAGCTCCCCCCAGCCACCCCTAATACTAAAAGTGGAACTTTAGTCAAAAAATTAAGTCCTGCTAGATCACTTCAGGTTGGCCCCATTTGCAGGTATAGCTATGTAAAACATTAAAAATAAGTGCCTATACGGTTTAAAATCCAGTAATATACGGTCTCACCCTGCGATGCTCTCAATTTTTAGGCACTGACAAATCTCTAGAGGCCCATCTGCTGACAGCCTTAAAGCAGAATTAAACCATCCGATCCTTTATAGCCAAGGAGGCTGCTTCTGTTTGATCTGCAACTGCCATGATGCTGCACATGTGACACCATCCATTTGATGGTTTGACAGTTTGGATGATAGCGCAAGCAAATGTTACAGTTAGCAATCCCAGCATTCCAGGAATGTAACTTTTTTTGAAACCATTAAATCGATGGGGTTTAGGTCTCCTTTATGGTTTACTGATGTTCAGGGGCTCTGGGCTTCAGTAAAATGGCAGCCTCCAGCAAGAAGACACAGGAGCCATGCTGGAGGCAATTTATAGCACACACTAATTTTGGTAGCATGATTATTAATGTGGAATTTATATTCCTTGCTAAAGAACATTATTTTTTTATCAAGTTGTTATGGGTAAGGTTCCGCTTTAACTGAGCCCCATCGTGATCCAGCACTGTGTAGGAGAGCAGTGGCTCTCCTGAATCTCTCCCTCCTCATTGTCTGAGGCACAGCAGCTGGAGCCATTGGCTCCCACTGCTGTCAATCACAGCCAGTGAGGAGGGAGCAGGGGATGGCGCCGAGCCACACTCAGTGTCCTGAAACACTCATCACACTACAGCCTCACTGCTCCTGACTTGAGCATTTTAGCAAACAGTGCTATGTAAATAAATGGAACTAAACCCACCTATCATTTTCAATCAAGAAAGCCATTAGAACCTCTGCTTAATCTTCAACTGCCATGGTGCTGCACATGTGATCAGTTATGACACTAGTCATTTGATGGTTTGACAGTTTGGTTGAGAGCACAAGCAAATGCGACAGTTACATTCCCGGCATGCCAAGAATGTAACTGTATTCTGAAACTTAAAGCGATGGTTTTTGTTCCGCTTTAAGGTGCAGTTCCAATCACCCTGTCAAAAAATAAAAGTCAGCAGCTACAAAAACTGTAGCTGCTGACTTTAAAAAAAAAAAGAAAAAAAAAAAACCCCCCACTTGCCTGTCCCTCGGTGTGTGTCCCGCAGCCCGTTTCACTGGCCGTTCTGTATTCCAGGAGACCAGCATCTTCAGTGTGGGCACCCGGCTGTGATAGCTTGTGATAGCTTACCCACTGCGCGAGTAGTGCTGTGCTACATGTATGGTCCTGTAGTCTTCTGGGACCTGTCACGTGTCCCAAAAATCTACAGGGGAGGGAGGACACCTTCTGCTTCCGATCACCCAGGCGATCAGACCGGAAGTGGGAGCAGGTACCTGTCAAATTCAGGTACCCGCTCCCCTCCCCCAAAAGGTGCCAATCCTTAATGGGGAGCAGTCCTTAAAGCAGAACTTCTCCTTTTGGGTAGAGCTCCGCTTTAAAGCGGTAACAGCCCGGGTTCACACTATGTGGTGCGGAACACTGCATGTAATTCACACAGGAAGCGCATTGCATTCCTGTGCAAATTACATGCAAATGTCTGTGTGGTGCAATTTGAGCCATACACTTTGTATGGCTCAAGTCGCATCACATTTGCGCCAAAAAGGTGCAGGACCCTTTTTAAGCCACACATTCTGGCAACCTCATTGAGTTTTGCGGTCTGTTTCAGGTAGTGATTAATTTATTCTAAACACCTGCACCAGATCACATGAATGCGATGCAACTGCAATACGGTGCAGGGAACGCACAGATTTGCACACTGCACAGGTATGAACTGGGTCCTAAACCCAAAACATTTATTATACTGCAGCTTACTAATTCTTATATCTGATGGCTACATTAGTTTGTTCAAGTGTTCAGTCCTTTATTTTCACCTGGTAATCCAGCCAGCAAGTCTGTTGTTTTACAACAGAACAAGCTCTCCTGCAATTGTAACAGTTAGAGTGTTGAGAAAAAGCAATTACCACTGATTGGGGGGGGGGGGGCTTGCAATAATTGGCTTAGATTTATTCATGTAAAACATTTTTCCCAAAAGAAAAAAAAAAAAAACCAAAAAAAAAAAACTTTTGTTGTAATTGCAGTAGGAGCTGGAGTTTGGCTTCAATTTGTTAGTGTATCTAAATCTCCATCCAGACTGACAATGCTGCTGACTGCTGTGCCTCATGTGCTCCTTGTTCCAGAGTGGTGTCTGTATAATACAGGAGGTGTGTTACTGGCCAGAACACCAGGTGAAAAAAAAAAAAAATAATAACGTAGTCACCAGATCTAATGACTGGCAATATATTCCATTTTTGGTTCTGGATTTAATACCCCCTTTAAGCTGGCCATATACTAATAGATTTCTATGATTATGATCAGATCCCTACATTTGATGAATGTCATTCTAAAGGTACTTCAAAACTTGGTTTGCTTTTAGAAAAAAAAACAACAAAATAAAAAAAAGCCAAAAAGCAGACTTTCCCAAACGAAAACCACCATCACGGTTAGAAATGATTTGTTAAAACAAATTCCTTCCTGTGCTTCCAAATTTTCACATCATGGCAGTTGAAGAGGATTGTGGATTTGACCCCCTTAATGATTAGAAAATGGAACGAGTGTTCTGAGAACAGGGATTTTGGAAGAAAATAATGGCCAGCTTTTAGAGTGACAGCTGGTGCCCCTGTCATCACCCCCTGTATGTGTTAGGTGCCACTCCCCGAATGGGAAGTTCAGGGAAGCAGCGCACAGACAGATACAGCAGCTGCCATCTCTATAAAAAAAAAAAAAAAAAGATAGATGTTTGGGAGATAAATTAAAAGAAAGACATTGCAAGTTCAGCTATGAACAAGACATTAAACAAGAGTTGAGGATTGCCCGGTAATGTCATGATTCTTTTATCATCACACACTGTGGATGGGAACACTTCTCCCAGCAGCAGTGATATCACCCAGATGTCTATGGAGTGTGCCAGGGCAGGCAGTATCCCTACACACACCCAGGTGTCAGTGTCTGTCATCACCCCCGTAACATGTCCTGGCTCCCTGCGGCCTAGCCGCCGCCCCCTCCTCCTCCGGGCAATGAAAGGTCGACCAGTGACCCGCACTCCGCCTCACCTTGCTCTCTTCGGCGGGGTACATGTCAGCGTCCTCTGGGCTGTCCATTAATATTTTGGCCCTGTCTTCCCCTTTGGTGGCTCCACCGCCGCTGTCCCTTCGCCCCTTCAGGGGTCCGGGCCTCTCGCTGCTCGTATTCCCCATCTTCAGATCACAACAACCGGCGAACGTACAACCCTAAAGGACTTTATTTATGTCTCCTCTACTTCCGCCTCCTGTTTCCGGTACGGATGGGACACACTGTGCGTTCCACGCCTCGATACCGAACTCCTTGTGCAGTGATTGGCACGTGTCGCCCCGCCTACGTTGTCTGTAAATTAGTAGCTGGAAAGCAGTGTAGGCTTCCTGAGATTCTGGGAACCGTTTTAGGTGTAGGAACCTGTAGCTGGCCAAAATAAAAAGAATAAGTATGATAATAGTTTTGATTTAACCGCTTGCCTAGCGGGCACTTTACCCCCTTTGTGCCCAGGCCAATTTTCAGCTTTCAGCGCTGTCATACTTTGAATAATAATTGCGCGGTCATGCAACATTGTACCCATACAACATTTTTATCATTTTTTTGCACTATAAACAAAAAAAGAGCAAAAAAGTTTTTATCTGTTTATATTATAACATTTTGCAAACAGGTAATTTTTCTCCATTGTGCATTGATAAGGCTGCACTGATAGGCACTGATAAGGTGGCACAGATAGGCAGCACTGATGGGCACTGATAGGCAGCACTGATGAGGTGGAACGGATAGGCGGCACTGATAGGCACTGATGAGGTAGCACGGATAGGCGGCACTGCATCACTGATGGGCACTGATGAGGTGGCACGGATAGGCAGCACTGATGGGCACTGATGAGGTGGCACGGATAGGCAGCACTGATGAGGTGGCACGGATAGGCAGCACTGATGGGCATTGATAGGCAGCAGTGATGGGCACTGATGAGGTAGCACAGATAGGCAGCACTGATGGGCACTCATGAGGTGGCACGGATAGGCAGCACTGATGGGTACTGATAGGCAGCACTGATGAGGTGGCATGGATAAGCAACACTGATGGGCACTGATAGGCAGCACTGATGGGTACTGATAAAGTGGCACAGATAGGCAGCACTGATGGGCAGTGCTTATTGACAGCACTGACTGATGGCAGTGATGGGGGGCATTGATGGGTGGCACTGCTGGAAGGCACTGCTGGGTGGCACTGCAGGACACTGATCATCAGTGCCCTGATGATCAGTGCCAATCTGCTCTGTGACAGTTGCCGGTTATCGGCAGTACTTTCCTAACTCTGCCACAGCATGCAGAAAGTCCTGCCGATAACCAGCAACTGTATTTACTCCCTGATCTGCTGTGTGATTGGACACAGCTGATCACGTGGTAAAAGGCTTTGCTCCTCGCCAGAGGCCTCGTTCCTTTTTTGGACCTAGTGCAAGTCTTACCTGGTTCCCGTATACAAGATGGTCCATGAACAAGGCCTGGCAAGCCTCTCTGAGAAATGCGAGGTGATGCGCTGCTTATCAGTTCCACAGGTTCCCAGCTAAAGGTGGGGTATTGGGCCCAGAAAATGGATGCGGTGCTGGGAATGGTGGAGCAGGCGTCCACTCATCAATTCCAGCGTTCCCCAGCTAATAGTGGGGTGGAAATGAGCAAGCAGGAGTCAGTGCCTGGAAGAGCTCAGGTCTGCCAAGGATTCTGTGTCCTTCAAGGACAACCTGGAAAGGAGAATCGATTCTGATATCAAGCGAATCTACACTACAGCAAGGATAGCTTGCAAGCTGGCGCTTGCCTTAGCGACCTTCTCTAAAGCTATGGAAGTGTGGTCGGATAATGTGGATGTGGCCCTCAGAGGAGTTCCAGAAGAGGTGGCTAGGAATTAAGCTATCTGGGAGCTGAGTTTGGCATATGCCTTTCTGGGGGAGGCCTCAATCGACCTTACCTGTCTGCTGGCTCGGGTTATGCTGTCCTCAGTGACAGCCAAGCATGCATTGTGGCTTCAGCCCTGGTTGACCGATCTCTAAGCAGGCATGGTGCAAGAACCCCTTTAAGAGTTCCTCCCTGTTTGGGAACAAACTGGACAGTGCTATAGCCCAGGCTACAGGCGGGAGATCCAGTTTCCTGCCCAGAAGTCAAGGCTAGGAACTCGCGACTCTACAAGCCAGGCCGCAAATTCAAGAGACGCTGGAGGAGAAGCCAGTCATCTTTTCAGAAGTGCTCTAAGGGCTCGACCTCTGGAGATTATGAGGCACAAAGTCCTTTTGAGATTGGGCCAACTCAGGCAGGCCAGGTGGGGGCCTGCCTTCGCCATTTTTGGCATGTCTGGGTGGCTTAAATCTGGGACATCTGGGCTGTCAGCATTGTATCTTTAGGATATGCTTGGGCGTTTAAGAGCCCTCCTCATCTCAAGTTCACCCCCATGGCCCTTCCTCATTCTGGAGAAAGGAGGGAAATCCTGCTGTCCTACATGGACTCTGTGCTGGCGCAGGTGCTGTCGTGCCGGTTCCGGAGGGCAAAGAATTTCAGGGCATGTACTCGTCCCTCTTTTTGGTCCAGAAAAGAAACAGGGCCTGGAAGCTGGTCATAGATGTCACCCATCTAAACTCCTTTATCAGGAAGTCAAAATTAAATATGGAGATGCTGTTCACAATTCAACAAGCAATTCAACCAGGCGACTGGCTCCTGTCTATATATCTGAAGGATACCAATAAATAAATAATTTGCGCTAGTAAATGTGTATAAATATATAAATGTATATAAAGAAATCATCAAATCATAAGTCCAGAAAAAAATATATATATGCCAATACCACAAAAAAATATAAAAAAACTTTTAAGTGCAAAAAACTTTTGTGCAAAAAAAGTGTCTAAATATGAAAAATTTCACCAAAAAACCTTGATAATATAATGGCAGATCATCCATAAATATATCTTCAGAGACGGAAACTCTGCAACACACCGATCCTCATCGATCGAAATAACAGGATGAAAAACTTTGTAGTTAATCGAAAATCCACTTCTCCAATAGATAAAGGACCACCTTCAAACGTATCCATGGGGGGAAATGCCAAGCACTCGAGAGAAACAGAAAGACTTCATGGTGCAATATTATAAAAACCAATTCCTTTATTAGGTACTCATTGCACTTACTCAAGAGGTGTCCCAGCCGACACCAGCATCACACAGCATAACAGCAATCACATAAACGAGCCTGGCTACTCAGCACATGCGCAGTAGCTGGCAGCCAAAAACGTAATGACGTCACATCAATCAAGCTCCGCCCTACGCGTTTCGTCATCGACGTCCTCACGGAGTAAGTTATATAATTTTGACCATAGGCGCTATTATTAATTTTTCTTATATCTGAAGGATGCCTACTTTCATGTGCCCATTGCAAGAGATTTTCAGAGATTCCACTGGTTTGCTGTGGACTAATGGCATCTCCAGTTCATTTGTTTTCCCTTTGGGCTTTCAACGTCACCTTGTGTGCTTTCAAAGTCTTATTGGTGGTCATGGCCCTGATCAGAACCAGAGGCATTTGCCTGCACCATTACCTAGATGACCTGCTCCTACTATCCCAGGAGAGAGAACAGTTTACTACAGCACAGGGCCCACGTCATCTCAGCCCTTCTCGAGTTCAGGTGGTTGCTGAATATGGAGAGGAGCCAGTTGGAGCCCACGCAGTCTCTGATATTCCTCGGGGGTCATTTTGACACAATCAGCGCCACCATATCCCCCTCCGTGGAGAAGATTCCGGTGATCTGGAGCCGAATACTACCTGCCCTGTCCTCCTCACACCTTCAGGCCCTCCAATGCCTGAAAATCATTGGTACCATGGTGTCCACAGCGCCGATGGTGAAGTGGGTACAGTGGAGAATGCGACCCTTCCAGAAGGGCTTTCTTCAACAGTGGAATCCAAGCAGCATGGGCCAGGTCATTTACATATCTCCGTCCATGAAGGAGAGCCTTCCTTGGTGGCTGCAGCAGAAGAATCTACTCAACTGCCATTTGATTGCCCCCATTTCCTAGGTCACAATCACTACGGATGCCAGAAACTCCGGATGGGGTGCTCTCTGCCAGTCAGAGATAGCTCAGGGCAGGTGGAGCTTTCCCTCCCACAGGTTGGGGTCAAACGTTCTGGAATTACAAGCGGCGCTCTGTGCCCTATGGGCCTTCCAGCACCTAACATGGGAAATCAGTCCTCCTGAGGTCTGACAATATGACGGCAGTGTCCTACATAAGGAGACAAGGCAGGACCCACAGCCTGTCCCTCAAATCATGTCTTGGGCTCAGAGAAACCTGTCCAACATATCGGCACTAAACGTCCCTGGAGTCCAGAACTTGCAAGCAGACTTCTTATCCAGGGTTCAATTGGACAACAATGAGTGGTCTCTCAACACAGAAGTTTTCAAGTGGATACTGACTCTTGGGATCAGTCCAGAAGTGGACTTGTTTGCCTCCCTGTGGAACAGCAAACTGGAGATGTACTATACCAGGAATTGCTGTTCCCAGGCCTTCGGGGTGGAGGTTCTGATGGATCAGTGGAGGTTTCGCATGGCTTATGCATTTCCCCCAATCCCTGTCATCTTCAGGTTTCTCCGTAATTCCATACTGGACAAACAGACCATGGTTTCCCTTACTGGCGCAGCTCAGCTTTTTCGGATCTGGTTCCTCTCCCTCTCAAGCCAGACAGACCTGCTGTTACAGGGGGCCATTCTTCACTCTTGCCCAGCCCAGCTTCATCTAGTGGTCTGGTTCTTGAGAGGGGTGGTTGGAGGCCTTAGGCTGTCCTGCTGAAGTCATCCTCCTCTGATGAATGCCAGAAGACCAAGTACCAACAGGGTCTATGGAAGAGTCTGGTCTAAGTTCGTGGACTGTATCTTTAGTAATCTGAGGGCTCTGAGGATGTCCTGGGATTCCTCAGTCAGGCCTGGACCTGCCCCTGTCAGTCAGCATCCTCGGGGTTCAAGTGTCAGCTATCTTGGCCTTCACTGTAGTGTCATGGGCCGACTTCTTCAAAGGGGCAGTAAGGTTGAGGCCCCAGAGGAAACCGAGGTTCCCAAAATGGGACCTTCTGCTTGTCCTCGACTTCTTCTCTGGAGGTGTTCCAGAATCAGCTGGTCCACCCATAGCAAGGGAGCTCTCCATCAAAGCAGCATT